TTGAACTCCAGGGCTCAAGGGATCTCTCACCTCAGCCTCCTAAGGAGCTGGGACTACAGGTACGCACCACTGCGCCACACTAATTTTTAATTTTTTGTAGAGGTGGGGTCTCACTATGTTGCCCAGGCACCATCACCTACTTTTAATTAAAGGCTTGGATTTTGAGATGTTTCATGTTAACTTGTAAACTTTTGTCTGATAAAAATAAAAATGACTTCTGTCCATTAAAAATTTATGACCCAGGCTGGGCGTGGGGGCTCACGCCTGTAATCCCAACATTTTGGGAGGCTGAGGCGGGTGGATCACGAGGTCAGGAGTTCGAGACCAGCCTGGCCAACATAGTGAAACCCCATCTCTACTAAAAATGCAAAACTATTAGCTGGGCATAGTGGTGGGCGCCTGTAATCCCAGCTACTTGGGAGGCGGAAGCAGGAGAATCGCTTGAACCTGGGAGGCAGAGGTTACAGTGAGCCAAGATCACGCCATTGCACTCCAGCCTGGGAGATAGCGAGACACCGTCTAAAAATAAAATAAAATAATGACCCAAAGTTTAGGGCTGTATCCCCACTAGAACACTAACCAGAAATCTTATTCTAATTTAATCTTACTTTCCAGTGCCTACATAACCCCTGGTCCTCTCTTCTTCTTTGATCAGCTTTGCCAGGCTGCTGGTTTTCTCATTCACGAGTTGAATAAATATTTGTCATTTGCTCATTCTTGTATTAGACTCATGTTTTTAACTTTTGAAAGGTATTCTTGACAGTCCTCAGCCTCTGTACTTCACAGATATAGAGTGGGACTTATACTATTCATCCTTCCATAGTGGGGTGGTCTTTGCCTGGGTAGCACATCCAGGGTCCCCAAGACTACTCCCAGGTTCGGCGATTTGCTGGGAGGACTCGCAGGGTTCAGCACATAGTTACCGTCATGTCTGTGGTTTATAACAGCAAAAGGATATGAAACAAAATCAGCAAAGAAAAGAGGTGCACAGGGCAAAGTCCGAGGGAAAATGGGCACAGGATTCCAAAGTCCTCTTCCTGCGGGGTCGAAAGGAGCACATTCTTTTCCCCCAGCAATGAATTTTCTTCTTTTTTCTTTTTCTTTTCCTTTTTTTTTTTTTTTTGAGATGGAGTCTCACTCTGATGCCCAGACTGCCCAGCTAATTTTTGTATTTTTAGTAGACAGGGGATTTTACCATGTTGGCCAGGCTGGTCTTGAACTCCTGACCTCAAGTGATCCACCCATCTTGGCCTCCCAAAGGGCTGGGATTACAGGCGTGAGCCACTTTGGCATGGATTTTACTTGAGCTAAAGACACTTGAAAAATAGCAGGTACAGAAAGGGTACTCTGACCTCCTCTTTTCTTTTTGAAAGCAAGAGATAGGCTGGGTGCGGTGGCTCACACCTATAATCCCAGCGCCTTGGGAGGCCAAGGCAGGTGGATCACCGGAGGTCAGGAGTTTGAGACCAGCCTGGCCAACATAGTGAAAACCTATCTCTACTAAAAATACAAGAATTAGCTGGGCTACTCAGGACGCTGAGACAGGAGAATTGCTTGAACTCAGGAGGCGGAGGTTGCAGCGAGCTGAGATCACACCACTACACTCCAGCCTGGGTAATAGACTGAGACTCCACCTCAAAAAATAAAAAAGAAAATAAGAGATAAAACCCCCATGTGGAAGATGCCCTCCCTGTACCAGGAGGAAAGAACCATTCTTGTCGGCCAGGTGCAGCGGCTCACACCAGTAATCCTAGCACTTTGGGAGGCCAAGGTGGGTTGATCACCTGAGGTCAGGAGTTCAAGACCAGCCTGGCCATCTTGGTGAAACCCCATCTTTAAAAAAAAAAAAAAAAAAGAACCATTCTCGTCATCAGAGATGGAGAGTTAAGGTCGAAATAATTCTGTACAAACAGACCTTGTTTAAATAACTGTTATCTTCCTCTGGTTTCAGTAACTTTTCCATAATTGCCTCTCTTCATTCAACTCAGTATGTAAGCAGTTAGATTTTGCCATTTCTTTGGGTCTCCATTTTTCTATGGGGGCTGCCACGTGCATGTAATAATCTGTATACTTTACTTTGGCTAATCTGTTTTATAGCAATTTAATTCTCAGGCCCAGCCAGAAACCCTAAAAAGTATAGGTAAAATTTTGCCTCCTCCACAAAAGTATAAGTAAATGAATGACTCTCGCTGAAAAGTAGAATAAAATAAAAAAGAGATCAACAGTAGTTGAGAAAAATTATAAAATAATAAAAAGTAGTCTGGAATGTCTATTAGGAATTCCAGACACAGAGAAAAAAACTTAAAAAGCAAACAGAATTCCTAAAAACTAAGAATATTCCCCAGAACCAAACTAGAGTTTCCATAAACTAAGAGCCCACTGAGTGATCAGCCTAATAAAAAAGTTTTCAAGCCACATTAGGTGCATCATTGTAAAATTTCAGAACCCTAGAGATAAAGGAGGTCCTAAGACTTTCTGGAGGGAAGAAAACAAGTAATAATCAAAGATTAGGGCTTCTCACCTAAAATACTGGAATTGCTAGAATAAAGGAGACTGATGCTTTCAAAATTCTGAGAGAGAGTAATGATCAAACCTGGGGTTCTCTACCCAGGCCAACTAGTAATTGAGGATGAGAATATGATAAAGACATATTCTGGCCAGGTGCAGTGGCTCACGCCTGTAATCCCAGCACTTTGGGAGGCAGAGGCAGGAGGATCACTTGAGGCCAGGAGTTTGAGACCAGCCTGGCCAACATGGTGAAACCCCATTTCTACTAAAAATACAAAATTAGCCGATGTGATGGTGCAAGCCTGTAATCCCAGCTACTTGGGAGGCTCAGAGATGAGAATCACTTGAACTTGGGATGTGGCCGTTGCAGTGAGCCAAGATTGCGCCACTGCACTCCAGCCTCAATGACAGAGCGAAACTCCCTCTCAAAAAAAAAAAAAAAAAAGACATGTTCAGACACGAAAAATCGCCAAAAAATTATATACCCTTTCTCAGAATTGTGGGAACACGGGATCGAGAACACAGATATCCATTATAGGATGGCAAAGAAAATAGCAAAGAAAAAAGTGTGCGAAGGAGAGCTAGAGTGATCAGTCTAGCTGGTAGCAAGAAGACAAAGAGCTTCAAGATTTAAAGAGAAAGGCTGGTGTGAGTGCAGTGGTGTTTACAACAAATTAATCACAACCAGTTACAGATTTCTTTGTTCCTTCTCCACTCCCACTGCTTCACTTGACTAGCCTTAAAAAAATAAAAATAAAAGGCCGGGCGCGGTGGCTCAAGCCTGTAATCCCAGCACTTTGGGAGGCTGAGGCGGGTGGATCACGAGGTCAAGAGATCGAGACCATCCTGGTCAACATGGTGAAACCCTGTCTCTACTAAAAATACAAAAAATTAGCTGGGCATGGTGGCACGTGCCTGTAATCCTAGCTTCTCAGGAGACTGAGGCAGGAGAATTGTCTGAACCCGGGAGGCGGAGGTTGCGGTGAGCCGAGATTGCGCCACTGCACTCCAGCCTGGGTAACAAGAACGAAACTCCGTCTCAAAAAAAAATAAATAAATAAAAAATAAAAATAAAGATTTAAAGAGAAAAAAGAGAAATCGGAAAGGTTTGTGTAGAAAATTATATTGTGAGGTTAGAGAGTATGTAAAGAACGTACAGAGATGTAAAGAGAAACATCAAGGAAACAAAGCAAATTTAAAAAAAGAATGCAGTTAACTCCAGAAGTAAAAGTTATATGAGAAACAATTAAAGCTTACTTAGCTTGTCAACAAACTATATTTGCATAGTTAAAACAGGGTAAATACTAATTATTGATTCATCTAGAATATGCAATCGTTTTACTGGGAAGACGGTTGGAAAGGTGTTGGAAAGAAGAATCAAATCCTGATTAATAAATCTCATATATGACTGATAAATTAAAGATGTTAGTAAAAGCTTGTTTAGAAAAAATTAATTTCAAAAAAGTCATGCTGGCTAATATTGTAGAAACCAATTGGAGGGGACTCCAAGTAGAGACAAAGAAAGAATAGGAGGTGGAGGCTACATAAGCCAAGAGAATGGAGGACTTAAGTAAGGTAGTGGTAAAGGGAATGGGGAGGTGGGAATGGAATGGAATATTTGCAGTAGAAATGATGGGACCTGGTGGCTGGAGGAGTGAGAATGAACAAGAAGAGGGACAAGTCTAGAATGATTTGAGGAACTGAATACTCTCTGAGAAAGAGAATGGAAAGAAGAGCAGGCTTGTGGGTGATGGTAATTTAAATTATGGACCAAGCTGAGGTAGCTAGTCATCTAAGTAACAATGCTAGATGGACATGAGTTCAGGAGAGCTCTGGGCTGAAATAAGAGAATAAATTAGATTTAAGAATAAACCCAACCAATTCCCAGGGAAAGCTAACCTGACTGTCCCCTGGAGCCCCACAAGTGTATGGATCCTGGGTACACTGACTGCCAGGTGAGAGCTGTTTATCCTACGCGAGTTCTATTAACAGCTCTCACCGAGTGAGAGTGTGCCGAGTGCCACAGCCCCTCAGCCATTGCCCTTTTTCTGGAAGTCTCTAATGTTAGGAAATGTCTTCCAAGAGATTCATGCTACTCTTCCCATCTCTCCCGAACTTCTGCTTCACTTGCTTCTCACCTTCCCTGTCACACACTGCTTCTCTCTCACCAGTTTGATGCCCAGCAAGATGGTCCATTGGAATACACAGCCAGCTGACACAAATCCATGCTTGACTTGATATCCCTTGGCAAGTTGAGTGTCTCCTGCCAGCATCTGGAACTGTTACTTGTGATTTTGGAATCCTTGTCACTAAGGCTGACTGCACCTCAGCACTGCTCAGGCCACCCATATGGTGGAAATGATGCCAATGAGAAATCAAGGTGAGAGTTTGAAGGTCAGAGTAGAGGAAACCAGAAATGCCCGATTCCTGTCCTATCACACATCTCTACTCACAGGGTCCTGATAGCTATGAACAAGAAAACACTATCCAAATGAGAAACAAATGCCACTTTATTCATAACTGAGGCAGTACTCTATAATCCATAGGCAGGGATCTGATAAAAACTGAACTGAGGGTCTTGCAAGGGTAGACGCCAACCACTGGGTTGAAGTCTGGTCAGGCTTTGGCACTGCACATGGGAGGTAGTACCTTCTTGGGATAGTTCTATTACTTCAGAAAGGTGGGAAAAGCAGCTGGTGTGCAATAAGAAAAGCAAGGCCAAGGACCCAGGCAGGCTCGGCAAGTGGCTGCCTGCATTCCAGTCCTAGTGTCAGGCCCTTGAAGACCTCAACATACTCTCTGCTTTAACTCCAAACTACGAATACACATTTTTCATAGATACCCCCTTTTGATTTACGCTCACTTGTGTTTGTTGCCGGCAACCAACAGACCACTGAGGAAACTGGTTCAGCATCAATCATGTCGTCCTGACTGCATTCCTAGCATTACAATACCACTGGCCACAGTTGGCGGGTAATCCGTATCTGCTGAAGGAATGAGGGGTATGTGCACTGGTCCTAAAGAACAGGTCCAGTCCATTTAATTCAGGAGTTAGAATCTAATTCATAACATGCTTACGCAGTACGCAATAGTACCCAAAGGGCTACTGTGAATCCCAAACGGAATATGGAGATTTGCTGAAACTAACCTTAAAGTGACCACTAAAGCTGTGCCTAATAGCAACGTGAAAGAAATATAAAGCTACATTAACCAGTTTCAGGAAATCAAGCTTATGGAAGCTCTATGTGAAATTTCCTATCAATCTTTCACTCAAGTAAATATAGAGGGACAAAATGCAAATAGTTTCCTCCAAGAAAACATTTAGTGCATATTATCAGTGATTATGTTTTACAAAAACTTTAAATACATGCATTTTTCACAAACACAAAATGGGATTCAAGACATCTATCAAATTTAAATGTTAAACTAAGTCCTGATTTTCAGAATTCAACAGCCAATCATGGTTTTGTTCCACGGTCACTAGTCCATGATTTCCAATAGCTGCAGATCTTTTCTGCAACTGGAACAAAATTTTCTTTATATGTGACAATTGTTTCCATATAAAATCCTTTTGGGGCTTCAGATGGTTCACTGAGCATTTTACTTGTTGAGCCATGCTTTTGGTCTTCTTCACCACCTTTAAGAGAAAAAATAATGAACACCTGAATTATTAACTTAGCAGTCATTAAAGTCTTAGAAATTAACTAAGGTAAGAATTAAATCCAGTCCCCTCAACCCCAATAAGAAAGGAAAGGGAAAGGGGAAGGGGAAGGGGAAGAGGGGAAAAGAAAGACAGCAGGCAGGCATGGTGGCTCACGCCTGTAATCCCAGCATTTAGGGGGGGCCAAGGCAGGTGGACCACCTGAGGTGAGGAGTTTGAGACCAGCCTGGCCAACATGGTGAAACCCCATCTCTACTAAAAATACAAAAAGTAGCCAGGTGTGATGGTGTGCGCCTGTAATCCCAGCTACTTGGGAGGCTGAGGCAGGAGGACTGCTTAAGCCTGGAGGTTGCAGTGAGCTGAGATGGTGTCACTGCACTCCAGCCCGGGCAACAGAGCTAGACTCCATCTCAAAAAAAAAAAAAAAAAAAAAAAAAAATTAGCTGGGCGGTAGTAGTGCACGCCTGTAATCCCAGCTACTTGGGAAGGTGAGGCAGAAGAATCGCTTGAGCCCATAGGCGAGAGTTGCAATGAGCCGAGATCATGCCACTGTACTCAAGCCTGGGCAACAGGGTGAGACCCTGTCTCAAAAAAAAAAAAAAAAAAAAAAAAGAACAAATGAAAGAAAAAAAAACATAAACATTATGGACATTAAAATATTTTTACTTTATACACATGAAGTAAATATTTTTACCATATATTACATATAAAGTAAATATAAAATATTATATATATACATATATACATATATATATATATATATAAATTTTTTTTGGAGAGATGGGGGTCTCCCTATGTTGCCCAGGCTGGTCCTGAATGCCTGGGTTCAAGCTATGTCCCACCACAGTCTCCCAAAGTGATGGGATTACAGGCGCGAGGCACTGCACCCAGCCAGAATGTTTTTAAATGCTTAATGCTGGACACATGTACTTTCAGGCCACTGATAGCTTCATCACCAAATACAATCTTCAGCACAGTTTTCACACAACAGCTTTACTGATATACTTAACATGCCATACGATTAACCCACTTAAAATATACAACTTAATGTTTTTAGTTTATTCAAATTTGTGCAACCAGCGCCACAATCGATTTAAAAATATTTTCATCCACAAAAGGAATCCACACCTTTGGCAGTCATTTCCCTTCTTACCCACTCCTCAGCCCCTAGCAACCACACTAATCAACTTAACGCCTCTACAGATTTCCAGCATATTTTTGAACGCTGAGACTTTCCTCCTTTTGCGCCTAGTAACTGGGAAGATTTTAATACGCTTGGCTGCTAAAAGTCCTGAAACTGCTCGCCATATACGATGAGGGACAGTAGAACAGAAGCATCACTCTAAAAATCACCGGCCAGAGTCTCCAAAATTCCATCTTCCAGTTTACACAGATTCCTCCCATTTTGAGAACGGGGATGGCCCTATCCCATAAATAATGAAGATTTAGGTAACACCGTTTACAAGGTATTAATAGTTCCCGGAGTCTAGTTCTTTGCAGATTCCATTCTAACAAACGGCTGTAAGCACCCGTTTCAGTTAGTTTTGCAGAATAAACCAAGGGTTTAAGAGACAGGGAGGTCGTTTCCATGACCCCGGAAAACTCTCCACCGAAGGCGGTGTGTCCCGCGGCAGGCCCCGCCAGGGAGTCCTACCTGACGACTTCGTCATTCTCTGGCATACGTAAATCAGTGAGCCCAACAGAGACCAGGTGCCAAGCCCGTAGACGACCGACATTCGCCGGTACCAGGCCGTGTACGGGTTCCCACGCATGGGGACGCCGGCGAGGGGCTCAGTTCTCGCAGGATCTCAATTGCCGCAGGCCCACGATGGAGGCGGGACTTCCGGCGAGGGCGTCGCTGCCGTCACTGCCGCCGTCAGTGTTCCGCGCCCGCTTCCTGCCCTGCCCCCAGGCATCTTGCGGCGTTTGGTCCGGAAAGTCGCTCCGGTGTTCGGACTTTCGGATGCAGAGTTGTGGGCGGGCGACACTTCTTACCACGTGACGAGGACTACATGACAACTTCTCTGAAGAGAAGCTTCTCACTTGCAAAACTGTGATGTCTTCCTGGGTTCCAGGCGGTGTCTGAAAAGCCTACTTCCAGGTCCTCTTCCGGTTTTCAGATTTGCGAGGATACCGCTTGTCTGTCCCCACGACTCATCTTTTCCCCCGTTTTCCTTTCCGGAAATCTGGGTGAACTTTACATACCTCCAGTCCAAAGCTAATCCCTCCACTAGGCTCTGGGTCCTGTTTTTTTCCTGCCTCAGGGGCCTTTCCCTTCAGTCCTAAGAGATTGACACCTTAAGTCCTCCCCCGTTTTCATTATTGACGTTTATCCTTCATACAAACATGCCCATGTCTCATACACAAAACGTCTTCAACCGTCTACCTCCAGCTTTTGACTTATTCATGTTTCTTTAAAGCAAGAAGATACCCTCAATAGACTGAGCAACTAAGAGCAAGTGTGATGTGCTAGGCACAGAGGGGGCTCGGTAAATTGACATTAAGTACTTTTCAGTCATACTCAAACTTGGTTTCAGAAACATTTGCCACCACTGATCCCACCTGCGTATCCTTAAGGGTTCTTTTTACCTTGCCCACCTTTTAAAAACTGATGTTCTGGCCGGGCGCGGTGGCTCAAGCCTGTAATCCCAGCATTTTGGGAGGCCGAGGTGGGTGGATCACAAGGTCGAGAGATCGAGACCAACCTGGTCAACATGGTGAAACCCCGTCTCTACTAAAAATACAAAAAATTAGCTGAGCATGGTGGCACGTGCCTATAATCCCAGCTACTCAGGAGGCTGAGGCAGGAGAATTGCCTGAACCCAGGGGGCGGAGGTTGTGGTGAGCCGAGATCGCACCATTGCACTCCAGCCTGGGTAACAAGAGCGAAACTCCGTCTCAAAAAAAAAAAAAAAAAAAAAAAAACTGATGTTCTGCCCCAGAAATCTATATCCACAAAAATACTAATGTATCCACAAAAATACTAACTCTGAATGTATCACTGACTTAAATGTAAAAACTAAAACTAATATAAGCCTAGAAAAAAACAGGAGACTATGCTTTCTATCTTGGAATAAGCAAAGATTTCTTAAACAAAAAGCATTCCAAGCCGGGTGGCTCACGCCTATAACTCTAGCACTTTGGGAAGCAGAGGATGGAAGATCGCTTGAGCCCCGAAGTTCCAGGTCAGCCTGGCCAACATAGTGAGACTCCATCTCAATTTTTATATACACACATAAAGCAAAAAGGATTAATTGGGCTTTTTTAAAAAAATAAAATTTTTGCTCTTTGAAGGTCACAGTTGAGAAAATAAAAAACCAAGCCACAGAATAAAATATTCAAAATAACATATATTTTATATAATATATAAAATAACAAAAGACTTGGATCCAGAATATATGAGGAAGCCTTACAACTGAATTATAAAAATACAACCCAACTAAAAACCAGGTAATAAATTTGAATAGAACAAAGGAAGATATACAAACGACCAAAAGCACAGGAGCATCGTTAGCATCACAGAAATGCACATTAAAACAATACAAAAAGAGATCATTACAGACCGGCTAGAATGGCCAAAATCAGATTGAGAATGCCAAGAGCTGTTTGGAACAATTGGAACTCTTAGTGATGGGAGCATAAAATGTGACATTCCCTTTGCAAAACTTAGGTTTTTTTGTTTTTGTTTTGAGACAGAGTCTCGCTCTGTTGTCCAGGCTGGAGTGCAGTGGTGCGATCTCGGCTCACTGCAACCTCTGCCTCCCGGGTTCAAGCAATTATCTGCCTTAGCCTCCCGAGTAGCTGGGATTACAGGCGCCTGCCGCTACACTTGGCTAATTTTTGTATTTTAGTAGAGACAGGATTTCACCATCTTGGCCAAGCTGGTCTTGAACTCCTGACTTCATGATCCATCCGCTTTGGCCTCCCAAAGTGGTGGGATTACAGGAGTGAGCCAACGCTCCCAGCTGCAAAATTTGGTTTTTAAAAAGTTGAACATATGCCTACCATACAACCCAGGCATTCCATTTCTAGTTATCCATGAGAAATGAAAACCTATGTCCACCCACAGCCATGTGGGTGAATGTTCATAGAGTTTTATTCTTAATAGGAAAAAATGGAAGCCACCCCATTTTCCATGGAGTAAATGGCCAAACAAAACGTGGGTTACCACTTGGCAATAAACAGGTAATGATACATATAACCACACCATCTTAAAATAGATTACGCTAAGTGTAAAAGCAAGCAAGACACAAAAAGAAACAGTCACAAAATTCTAGAAGCAAACTAATCTATAGTGGGAGAAAGCCGATCAGTAGTTGTCTGCTGTGAGGGTGTGGAGAAAGGGAAGGTCTAAAAGGGATCTGAGGAGACCTTGAGAGGTGATGGCAATGTTCTGTATGTTGATGGTGGTGGCGGTTTCGTGGGGGTACGCAACTGTGAAGACTCATCCAATTGTATGCTTTAAATGGGTGCAGTTTATTATATGTGAACTATAGCTCAATAGTTATAAACAAATCAGAAAAAGTGGTATCATTTCAAGCTTATGTCTCTTCTCATCCTTACTTCTTATCAGCCTTACTCATGATACCTATTTTATATGTTAATAACTCTCAAATCTACTCCAGATTCTCTGAAAGCAAATTCATGTTACTGCCAACCTGCTATGCATCCTCAGCTGCGTATCCCACAAGGTCCTGCAACTAAAAAAATGTCCAGAATTTAATTTATCAATGCCATTCCCAATAGGAAACAAACCTTCTCTTTCTCTTCCCTAATTCAGAGAGTGATCAAGAAATCACCCAAGCCAGAAACTTGGAACCATCTCACCTGACATCCTGTTTGTCACGTCTCTCTAAATACCCTGTCTCTGTTTAGGCCTCATTTCTCTTCTGGATTACAGTCTCCTCTCATCTTTCCTGCCACTCCTATGGCGTCTGTTTCAAACCTTAAATTACCGTTTCAACCCCTGCTTAAGATAAGTCAGTGGCTTACCTTACCTTCAAGATGTGGAGTTCAATACTCACAAAAATTAACAATTAATAAAAAGATAAAAGTTCATAGTCCTCATTGGGCATACAGGACTCAGTGACTCAGTGGCCCTTTCTCAAGATGGTTGTTTTCCACACAGCACTATCACCCCACCATTCCCCACATTCTGTGAAAAAAGTCACTGGTACCCCAGGGTGGGACCTGCATGGCTGTGTCATGCTGTGCTGTTTTCTCAGCTCCTTAACTCGCTGTCGCTCAGGGGAAGCCCAGAGTGAGTTGGGTCTATCACACATTTTCTTCTGTTAATTTGAAACAGAAAAGACCAAGAAGAAAGTTTTGGCCTTAATCTGTACAGACAGCTTTTATGTATTCTTTTATATGATGTATTAAAAATTATACCCCAAATTAAACATATTCTTGGAAAATGCACAGAAAATAAAAGCTCTTGGAATTTAAATGTAAGCGTTCAACTTTTTTTTTTTTTTTTTTTTTTGAGATGAAGTTTTGCTCGTTGCCCAGGCTGGAGTGCAATGGCGTGATCTCGGCTCACCACAACCTGGGATTACAGGCATACACCACCATGCGCAGCAAAATCTTTTGTATTTTTAGTAGAGACGGGGTTTCTCCATCTTGGTCAGGTTTGTCTCGAACTCCTGACTTCAGGTAATCCATTCGCCTCAGCCTCCCAAAGTGCTGAGATTACAGGCGTGAGCCACCACACCCAGCAAATATTCAACATTTTAAGATAGGAAACTCTGCTAGAATGTAGGGCAGAGACAAAAAGAAACACCATAACCTGTATTCAAATACAAATTCGAAAGATAAAATATCGGAATCAATCCAGCTGCTCCGACATCCAATTAATAGGAGCTTTCAGCTTCATTTTCCTACATAGCACTCATTGCCTTCTAATGTATCACTTTTTTTTTTTTTTTTTTTTGAGACAGAGTCTCACTCTGTCACCCAGGCTGGAGTGCAGTGGCACCATCTCAATGAAACCTCCACCTCCTGGGTTCAAGCAATTCTCCCTGCCTCAGCTTCCCAAGTAGCTGGGATTACGGGTGTGTGCCACCACACCCGGCTAATTTTTGTATTTTTGATAGAGACAGGGTTTCACCATGTTGGCCAGGCTGGTCTCGAACTCCAGACCTCAGATGATCCACCCACCTCGGCCTCACTAAGTGCTGGGATTATAGGCATGAGCCAGTCTCCAGTCACCACACTCTTAAACAACTATACCTCGTTTGAACTCAGAACAAGAACTCCCTCATTTCTGTGAGGATGGCACCAAGCCGTTCATGAAGGATCCACCAGGAAGACCCAAACTCCTCCCACCAGGCCCTACCTCCAATCCTGGGAATTACATCTCAATGACAGACTTGGCGGGGACAAATATCCAAACCATATTACCTGGCAAAGTCATAAAGTATGAAGACAGAACAGATTTGTAGACATGCTGAGATCCAGTGAGTTCTCCCCAACTTTTCTCCTTTGAGTAAAAGTCATTTGAGATTGCAAAATGCCTTATGGAATAAAGGGAAGACTGGAACTAACCCAAGAGTCCCAACAGAAGAAATTCCTGGATGACAGTTGTGTAGCAGGTCAAAATGATTGGTCCCCATTAAAAGGGGACATCGGTGGCCTCCAAAGAAGAAAAAAAGAATGGACTCATTCAGTAGAATAAGCTAGAATTGCTTAGTAAAAAGAGAACAAAATATTTCTTCTTTCAAAAAGCATACAAAACTTAGAAATTCTGGGGAAAACCATAGCAAATCTAAGAGATCATAATCCAAATAGGGAGCAAGCCAACATACAGCATGATGAAATGCCGAAAGTACTCTGATTTTGTCCTTTGGAATG